CTTTCTCACATGCACCAACCGCAGCGGCACTGCCGGCACACTCCAACCCCAATCCATTCCCGCCAATCACTCCACTGCACCTGCAGCAGGCTCGGCGGCAGCAGCGTCTGCGTCAAGCAGCAAGCAGCCCGGACGCTACTAAGCTCGTCACCGCGGCCGGGGATGGCAACGACACCATGGCGGAGCCGCCGTTCACGGAGCACTACTTCCCGCAGGAGCTGGACCACTTCACCTTCACGCCCAACGCGTCGACGGTATTCTATCAGAAGTACCTCGTCAACGACACTTTCTGGCGGAGGCCGAGAGGCGGCAAAGGCGGCAGCACCGGGCCGCTGTTCGTGTACACCGGCGGCGAGATTGGCATTGAGCGGATCGCCATCAACGCAGGCTTCATGTTCGATATCGCGCCCAAGTTCGGCGCCCTCCTGGTCTTCATCGAGGTACAAATACTTGTGCACGCTGTCGAAGACAATCATCTTAAAACAGATCATACATATTTGCTATTTGGAATAATAACGAAATAAAAAAAATGACGAGTTTCACGACGAGACAACAAGACACCATATTACTGTACTTGCTAGGTGAGACAGTGCCCAACTCACCTGACAAGACACCTGCCGGATTGCTCATTGTTGTTGTCTTCCTCGTCTCCATGCATGAGCCAAGATATGAGAAATCGATTGGCCAGGCTGCCAGTCCTGCTGCTTCCCGCAATTAAAACAAAGTTTAAATCTCCGGTTATAACTGCCGATTGTAGTCCGCTAATAGGTATTTGAGATAGGTCAACCAACTTGTATCTATGTACAATGCATTTAGCTCTGCTATTAGCTGTTTGAGAGGCTCGGATAAATGTTTTCGTTAGAGATTTAAAACGTTGAATTAAACGAGATGGAATTGGTTTTATCTAATACGGATACATTTTGAAGACAACGAAGCTATCATTTATCCTAATTCTGTTACGATTGTGATTTGTTTGTGTTTGCATATTTATGTTACCGTTTCTGCTACCATGACCAGCATCGGTTCTACGGGGAGTCGTTGCTGTTTGGGAACAACTCAGCAGAGGCATTGGGCTACTTGCGTCAACGCAGGCGCTCACCGACTTCGCCATTCTCATCACTAGTCTTAAGCAGAACCTCTCAGCCGAGACTGCACCTGTAGTCGTCTTCGGTGGCTCCTATGGTGGTAGTAAGTCATTTCTAAACCATGCAAATGGTTAATGTGTTTATCATCTTATTCTCACAAGATCATTGATCCACACTAAGCTATGTCCTTAGTTACAACACACTACCATGCAGTCCTTAGAAATTTCTCCAAGAATGAAACCTATAGCTACTAAATCACACTAAGACAAATCAAGTATATCAAAAGATTCACACAATATGTATCAAGCACACCTAGAAGCAATGAATGTAATGCTTATGAATGAAAGAGGTGGACAAGAAAGAACCATATTGTTCATGTGGTATTGAGTAGTTGCCAGTACCCCCTAATCCATGTTATTGGAGCATACACTAAGGGTTGAGCTCCCTTGAGTTGAGGATCCACTATAAGTATACATTCTCCACTCTAGAACCAAGCACAAAGTTAGGAGTCTTCGAACAATCAACTCCATATACACAATCACCTACTCCATCTGGCTATCTAAGAGATGGAAAACTCCAAGAGTAACAAGTTTTGATCTTCACTTGATAAGCCTCCAAGTGAAGAGCATAAAGATGCACACCAAGATCACTCCTAAGCACTCTCCTTAACTAGAAGTGCCCTCAACCTCATCACATTGCCTCTCTATATGAGTAAACCCTCCTAGATGTTGGAAAAGACTACAGAGAAAGTTATCAGCGGACAATCCATCGTGCTTCACTGAGGAGCACCAGATTACCCAGTGACCTTATTCTTCCTGCTTTTCCAATAGCTACTGACCTACTATTGAAAATTCTTGAATATTCTTCACCAGACGATATGTTGTTGCCACTAAGGTACCTAGTGGATCACATGGAGCACATTAGTAACCATGTCAACTTGAATTATCCATTGCACAACAATATAATGTCGGATAATCTATCGATCGCACTAAGATGTCACTAAGTCATAATGTGCACTCCAACAAGCATGTCCACATTGAAATAATAATTGCAACTAGATCATCCACCGGTCCACACATGACCCTTCACTATATCATTCGGTAAGTAACACATCCTAACACTTAGTATGGCACAATGTCACCTGCTTTGGTGCACTTTAAAATTCAATTCTTGATATTTTTAAAGTCCAATTTCGTACAATTCAACTTCTTTGAGATGTTTGACTTACAATCTATATGTCCCAGACATTCTTGATCAACTTTGCTCGAAGTACCTCCCATGTGTGCTTCAAAATGCTCTTAACTCCAACTTTGATCAAGCTACTAATCTTGACCCCATTAGTAGTTTGGCCAAAGATAAACAAAAACTCTTTCAGTATATCTATGTGCTCCTAACACCAAGTCAACACTTAGACACTACCTTGTTCTTAGCCTTCACAAATATTCTTGTGCCATACACTGAGTCCATCACCAAGGTCCAAGAAAACCAAACTTCCAATACCTTGTTCTTAGCCTTCACGAATATTCTTGTGCCATACACTTAATCCATCACCAAGGGCCAAGAAAACCAAAGTTCCATTGTGATTAACTCGTTGTCATTAACCCTACAAACAGACTTAACCACATAAACTTGCGTTCATTAATCACCAAAACCCAAACTGGGGGCCTTAATGTGTTTATACAGTCAATCTTGACCAAGCAACTAGGATGAATGTGAAATTAGCATAGCTCATGGGCTATGGGCCAAGGACAAAGGGTGTGTATATATTCTAGTGGACCAAGTGCATGGTGGCTCGATAGGGTGGCGATGGATAATAGGCAATGGCATGAGCGGTGGGGCCTATGTGTCATGTTGATGCAGAGAGAGATCAGGGCAACATGACGAGAGGTGATGGCTTCGAAAGGCATTACAGTGGGTGGCATAGATGTAGTCACATAGAGACATTTTTTATGCCCCTACCCCACCACATCCTTACTAGAATGCTTGTCGCAGGCATCGTCTATACTCGACTATGGCCAACCCCTCACCATCTGGTCTAGCTCGATGAGGCAAACCTAGTGATGGGGCCCTTGATGATAGTCAGTGTAACACCCTGCATCCAAAATTGGCTTTATGACCTAGCTCCTCATGCAGAACAGGCCCACATACGCTTAGCACCTCTCTTACACTTTCGTCCTTGCTTCGTGTAAAAGGGTTAATCTAGAGATTCTATGTTTGGAGCGACAAGGATTATAAGTTGGCCCTCATTCTCTTAAACTTCCAAGGTGGTACTAAGCCCCACCTCATTAGTAGACTATAATAGCTGGCCCATGTGTTGTTGTAGTTGGCGGGTTTATTACCACCTTGGAAGTTTAGGAGGGTGATGGTCATCTTATAGTCCTTATTGCTCCAAATGTAGCACCTCCAGATCGATTAACCCTTTTACATGAAGTGAAGATGAAAGTGTAAGATATGCTACACATATGCAGGGCCATTCTGCATGAGGAGCTAGGTCGTAAGTAGATTTTGGATGCATGGTGTTACAAATTAATGACTAGAGTGATGACGTGCTCAACTAAGCTAGGAAGGGTGGTGGCACCACATATGAGGTCGTGGGAGAAGAGGGTTTTAGCCTATGTTAAGGGGCTTGGGGGTTTCTGCATGCTGTAGTGAATGCTACTGAAGAGGGAAGGGGTTCTGTAGTGTGTTGGTGCTGCGCTGATAGTTATTAGTGGCGTTAGAGTCCAATGGGAGATGGCAAGTGGGATTGGGCCAAAGTAGAAGGGCAAGAGCCAGGAGGAAAAATGTGAGGTGAATAAGGAGGATAAAGGGTCAAGGAGATTGGCCTAGAGCTATCTAGGCTAAAGTGTGGAGTAGAGAAGGATATCCATAGTAAGTTATGGCGTTTAGTTCCATTGGAGGGGGTTGAGGAGAGCAGAGGAGATGGTTACTACTCATGCTTTGTGCAAAGAGAGGGATGCATGCATCTAGGGCCCCTATTTATAGCTGGCAATGGTCGAGCTCATTGAGTGGAGATATTTTCTCCTACGACCGACATTTTATTGCATGGTGGCATGGGTGGTGGCAAGCCTTAGCCAGAACTGACATTTTATTGCATGGTGGTATGGGTGGTGGCAAGCCTTAGCCAAAGTGTGGAGCCATTGGGAAGGCTCAGTGAAGACCCAAGCTTACATGGAGCTCTTGTCACAATAGATGGGACAATATAAAGTTGTGTGGTCAGATGCTATTGTGTAGAGGTAAAAAAAATCATGATGGGGAATATAAAGTTGATTGCTAGGTCCATGCATTAGTAGCTATACCAAACATGGATGCCATGCGACAGCTATATATGCAGACGGGGGCAATGAAGGGATAATAGGGTGGTCTAAAGAGTGGGCATGGTTGTGATGTAGTTTAGGCCAGCATGGGTTGTGGGCCGTAATAAGGGTGGAAAGTGGTGGGTGATGCATATGGATCGGACCGAGAAGAGGAGGAGACAGCCAATGGGGAGGATGAAGACATGAAGTAGAAGGAGAGATGATGGTTTTATGCTAGACCAGAAAGAATGGGAGGGGTGGGGTTTTGAGCCCATAATGGCTTATGAATAAAGGGCAAGTCTGTACTTTTGGATTTGGAATTTGCTGTAGGGATTCATACCACCAATGGTTCACTCAAACAATCAAGGCACTCAAGCATGCACACCATTTTGTGTCAATGCTTTTTTAAATATTTTCAAAATTCAAATTTATTCCTGCTGGAAGAGTTGAGCCTTATTGGCATCAAATTAAATTGGTTTGTTGTAAATTCAAAAATTTTCCAATTTCGATGATTTTCAGAACATGTAAAAGGATAGAGTGATATAGACAGGATGTGAGCTAATTAAACTCATCCATTTTAAATTGACATCGTGCTTGATGGAATGCTTGTTGTTTGTAGTGCTAGCTTCTTGGTTTAGGCTCAAGTACCCCCATGTCACCGTTGGGGCCCTGGCATCCTCCGCACCAATCCTACACTTTGACTACATAACACCTTGGAGTAGCTTCGACGATGTTGTCTCGCAAGACTATAAGGTACTCTCTTGGTTCCAAAATTTGTCTTAATCGTATAAAATTTACTATTGCATAAACAATTTTAGGAGATAGCAAATTTATTTATAGAGGCGGTCATATTAATCAATCTACCGCCTCTAGAAATCATCTAGTGGCCAAAAGGGAAAACACAACTCTATAAATCTATTTTCAAAGGAGACACTCTTAAGTGGCCCAGCTCTAATAAATACACCCACGACCCATTTGTTTCGAGTGGCCCAAGGAAAACTCTAAATAACACCCTCTCCATCCAACTCCAGTCGGATCCCCTTCTCTCCTCTCTCTCTCTCTCTCTCTCTCTCTACCCACCACCCCTATACGAATCCTCCACCATATCTCGAGAGCCACCGCCCCAAACTAGACCCACCACCCACCCTGTCGCCTTCTAGATCTAGCCCTCCAAATCGACCACTTTCGTTCTCATATGCGTGTTCAGTCCCCACTTGGATCAGCGACAATGGTGGTGGCGTAGCCATTTATTAGATCTAGTTGGGGCTGGAGTTGACCTAGCACTCAAGGATGGTGAATGGTGTCATGGCTTCTGGATGGCGGCACTCGTGTTCATGATTCTGTTGCGCTAATGTGGAGGGGGGAGGTCAGGAAGGACCTAGTGCTCGGCTTCAAGTTCAACCCCTTCTAGTCAGATATCAAGCAGTGGCATCCACAACAAGCTCACCGCTCTTCTTTGATGCCTACAACTTTCCTTCCCCTGGATTCAGCAAGCTAGTATCAAATGAAAAACGTTTCAACTATAAAGTTTTAGATCTAGTCGAGCACTACAATTTTGTGACATTATTTGAAAATCTTATATCAAAATCTGATAATTTAAAAATGAATATTTTTAGGACTAAAAGATTTTAAATAAAAAAACTTGTCAACTATATAGTTGTGGATCGCATTGAACACTGTAACTTTAGTATACACCGTGTCAACATCTGAGATTGTTTGGGAACTCTAAATTCATAATTTCAAAATCTAAGAAATAAAAATGAACATCTAGGACTCTAAATGACTTCAAATGAAAAACAATTCCACTATAAATTTTTAGATCATGATAACTACAATTTTGATATATACCATGTAAACATTTGAGGTTGTTTGAAAATTTTAATTTTTAAATTTCAAAAGCTAAGAACTTAAAATGGATTAAGCTTCAAGTTGAAAACTTATCAACTGCGAAATTGCATGTCGCATCAAGGTATATAGTTTCGGTATGAAGTTTGTCTCCAACCAACTTCATACGAAAAAATTATGAATTCCTTTTAATAAATATTTATAGAGGCATCTTAAGAGTGCTATTATTGATAATTGATTTCTAAAGGCCAGGAAATCCATATATGAGAATAGTCATTTACAGGGACAGTCTGTCTCTATAAATGATTAACATAGGTTGGTGTTTGCCTGGGCCCACCTGGCCATTTATAGAGCACCTAAAATGTTCACCTCTTTCAATCATGGCTCTGTTTTCTGAAACCTTTTTTTATAGTGCAACATTTCTGTCAGTGTTTTGTAAACCGACTAGTGAATTTATACGTGTGTCGCGCTGCTCTAGAAAGATGATGGTAGCACTCAAAGACACAAAAAAATTATACTGGTTCAGGCCGGAGCCCTACGTCTAGTCTCATAGATGGTTTGAGTTCGTGTTCCTCGGTTCAAGTGCTCTGAAGTCTTACAATGGGGATGTGTAAGCTAAGCGAATGAGGTTGGAGGAGTGAGGTGAACGAATGCCTGAATGAAGTCTCGAGAGTTTGTCCCCCCAGAAGGGAGGCCTGGCCGCCCTTATATAGAGTTCGGGGGCAGGTTACATTTAGATAGAGGGGTTCTCCCGACCGAGTGGTCGTGAGCCCGAAGGAGGGAGAAAATAAACTTGGCCTGCAAGCAAGCTTGTATTGTCTTGGCGTCATCACACTTTCAAGTATGGTCGTCGTCATGGCCACCGTGGTTTTGCTCCCACGTCGCGGCGTGGCGTGACGTGATGCTACAATGCCGGTCGTGACGGCACTGTTGGCACGGTGGTGGTTCACCAACTATCCTGTGCGACGTGGTCTTGGCGTGGCCTTCGTCATCGTCTCCTGTTCTCCTAGTGGTGTCGTGGCGACAGTGCAGGAGCAGGTAGCCACTTCGGGGTCGTCGGCCGCCTTTGCTAGTCATGATGCCGGGGGCCTGGACCCTGGATTGCGAGGTTGAGGTCCCCGGTGGCTGAGCCGGTCTTGAAAGTCAAGGACGGGGTCATGCGCCCCATCCCGTAGCGGGTGGGGCCATACGCCCATCTTGTCGGGCTAGATTTGGACGGTGGGATGCTGTACCGGTCGTTACCATCTGTTGGTGTTGTCTTGTCTGCGCAGAGGCGCGTAGGGATGGCGTTTGCCCCCGAGATGGCTGTCCTTTCAGTCCTGGTAGAGTGAGTGGAGCGTGCCTGTCCGGCTGTCCCTGTCAGGGTAGGCGTACTTGACCGCGTCCGATCTCTCCTTGTCCTTCCCCGGGGGCCGAGACGAAGGAGAGGTCGAGTGCGGCTGTGTAGCGTGCGGTGGAAGGAGATGGAGAGGTCGTGGTGGACCGCTTGTCTTGGTATATGGCCCGTCCCGTGTAGCTTAAATGGGCCACAGTTGTTGGGCTCCTGCTGGCTTGAACCGTCCGAGCGGCTAATTAATCGGTGACCTGAGACACCCAGGGTATCTTGACCCCAACATATTCAATCCGTGAATAATGCACAATAACATACCACATGCCCTGATATTTATCTGAGTAATAATGCTAGGTTAGTCTTTATCTCAGGCTAAATAATGCCATCTTCTCTAGTTCTCTTAGATATCAACTGATTGTGATTTTCAATTAATTTTGCAGTCTGAGAGCTTGAACTGCTTCAGTGTGATCAAGGCAACATGGGATGTGCTGAATCAGAGGGGCTCCAATGACAAGGGGCTCCTTGAGCTCAGTAAACTGTTCAGAGCCTGCAAGTAAGTTCATTTGAAACTCAAAATAGTCTTGACCATTGTGAGAGCTCAGTAAACTGTTCAGAGCCTGCAAGTAAGTTCATTTGAAACTCAAAATAGTCTTGACTATTGTGAGGGGTTGAGAGCTCTATTGCTAGTCTTAGTCTTGTCTGCAAGTAAAACTTGAGTATTGGATTCCATTGTCAGGTAAAAATATATGAGATGACTTGCAAGCATTTGTGTCTTTTGTACTCTTGTCATTTGTAAACAACTATAAGATTTCTAGCGGCCACCCAATTGGGTAAATAATACAAGCACAAACTAGCGCTAAATCCTAGCTGGTTGGTCGATAACTAACCACTACCCAATATACTATATCTCAGGGAGATTATCCAAATGGTGGTGAGCAGTTTTAATATGTGACTACTAATTAGACTCATTTTGTATACTCTATAATAATCGTCACAAAATGCGCTAGCAAAAACAACATATCTTAGAAAATTCTTAAACACAATACATAAGCATATGACCGTTAATTTGGCAACATTGATAGTAATAGCAACTGGACCTATTGTATTTTCTAGAATAACACACATCTTGACTTAATATAAAAAAAACTAGTAGAGCAACTCGTGCTCCTTCACGAGCCAGTAATTTTGAGAGACACAAGTATTTGAAATTTGTGAATAAATTTGAGAGCTATAACTAATCAAAATTACATATTTTCCTCTCTCTTTTGTTCGTATTGTAACACAATACTTGTATAGATACTATGTAATCTCTTTCTGGTTGTGATAAATGTTAATTGCCAATTACTCTACATATATGTTTTTAAATCCACATTCATAACCTGAGAAAATTGATCTGTCCATCACTTCCTGCATATATGGGATGATAGACCCGTATATAAGTCTGCTACAACTTGACTTTGTTGCATTGTTTTTTTTACTCAATTTTCAGGACTGTGAAGTACGCTGGTTCAATTCAAGCGTGGCTTCAGAGAGCATTCATCCAAACTGCCATGCTGGACTATCCAACACCGGCCAATTTCCTGGAGAATTTGCCTGCCTACCCCGTCAAGGAGGTTCTCCATTTTAACCACATTCTGCAACCACTTCTCCCATTTCAACAAAATTGCCAAACTGAACCCTCCATCTGCATGAACAAAAACTGTACTTCTGTTGTACTGAACATGTTATTATTTCTTACGAAAACCTATCCAGATGTGCAAGATCATTGACGGGTTCCCCACAAATGCGGACATCCTAGAAAAGGTGTTCACAGCGGCGAGCTTGTACTATAACTACACAGGAGACCAGACTTGCAACCATATAGAGGACGAAGACAACCCCCGTTCTCTTGACCTCAGTTACTGGCTGTGGCAGGTATATATAAACAATAAACTGAAACACAAGCTAAGTACTAGTAAAATGTTAGTGACAACACTGAGAACCAGAGATTGTGACATACTCCTGTGTAGGCTTGCACAGAGATGATCATGCCGATGTCATCCTCAAACGAGAGCATGTTCCCACCATCCACCTTCAGTTACGAGGACAGGTCCAATACCTGTTTCCAGTTTTTCGGGGTTCGTCCCAGGCCGCATTGGATCACCACTGAATATGGTGGATATGTAAGTGTTGTTTCTAGAGTTTCAGTGCGTGTACATATAATCCCTCAGTGGACACAATTTCTGCTGGTATATATGTAAATTGCTCATCTGATGCTGCGTTGCTTAACACCCTGCAGAAAATTGATAAGGTGCTCAAGAGGTTTGGCAGCAACATCATCTTCTCTAACGGAATGCGAGACCCATGGAGTCGAGGCGGGTAGGTCTATCTGGACCGTTTCATCATTGTCTGATCATTCGTCAATGAAGCTTCATTCTGTCAGATAACAACTGGCTGGAGTACACCCGTAATGGTTTACTATTCTGTTGCAATCAGGGTGCTCAAAAACATCTCGTCCAGCATCGTTGCCCTTGTCACGGAGAAAGGTGAGCAAGAAAATTTCTGGAAGAAAAATGTCGTAAGATCACAGTGGCATTTTTCAAAGTTCACTTATGTGTAGTTACTTGTCCCTGTGGTCAGGTGCTCACCATTTGGACCTTAGATCTGCAACCAAAGATGATCCAGACTGGGTTATAGAACAAAGGAGACAAGAAGTTGAGATCATACAGGGATGGATAGACCAGTATCATCAAGACATGGCGCAATTATCCTAATGGTGCTATTTCTGTGTTACAGTCAAGACAAGTTAACATCTGTTCTATGAAAAAATAAAAAAGAAAATTTCCTTATAACGCACAGGACGATCACAGGGACAGTGGCAAGTAGATGACAAAAGGTGAAAAGCCAATTCAGTTATTCACTTCTCATCAGAATCTGTAAAACTTAAACACTCTTGGATGAATCATGAATGAAAGGTTGTGAGAGTAATAGTAAGGCCTCTTTTGGTATAGCAGTTTTCTTTCTTTGCTTCAACTCCACTGGTGGAGCTGGAGCTTTTTTGAAAAAAAAAACACTTGATAAAACAACTTTTCATAGTAGATCTTGGATAGAGAGCTGAGAGAAGCAGATATTTTTAGTTACATCTGACGTCCACCCTTGTGAGATTGGATCTCAAGGAGCTCCACTTGAGGAGCTATTCCATTTTCACCAATTTGGTAAAAACAACTCTGGAACTGTTGGAAAAGTTGTACCAAATATAGGAGCTAAGAAAAACCGAATGACATAGAGGTCAATGAAAAACTAAAATAGTGGTGTTAAGGAAATGCCAATTTTTATTGGCATATAGGGATTGCTATTGTTTTAATGGCATATAAGAATTCTCTCTTTAGTCTCTTGCAACATTTGAGAAACAGAGAGAGAAAGAAGAGAGAGAGAGGAAGGCTTCATATGCCGCCCTTTCCCCTTCCACATGAGACGAAACTTGACGTGTTACATTATCGCTAGGTGATCTAAACACCTCAAGAGGCTAATCTTTAGCCCACCATTTTAGGGGCTCATCTTGGACTAAAGTTTAGCCCAAGAAATCTAAACAGGCCCATAGTCTCTCACACTATCGCTGTAGAGTAGGGACGGTCATAGTATGACCGTTGGGTACCAAGTCATTTTCACGAGAATGCCTCTTGTGAGCTGCGTGTGTAGTGTGTTTTGTTCACATGAATCTGGCAAAAATGTCTTGTGATTCGATAATGATCCAACACGGGGTCCGTCCGTTACTCCTGTCCATACACAGCTCCACTAGAGTGGGCCCTATCTCTCTCAGAAAAAATAAATCCCCACTCCCTCATATGCTTATCCGCTCGGCCTCGAAGTAGTGTGTGTGCTCATTCGTTCGCCCCTTCCCCCACTGCGCACTAGTCGGGCTACCGCGCCGTGCCCTTCCCCCCATAGCCGGCCACGCCGCGCGCCCTGCGTCCAAGTCACCTACGCCGCTCACCTGCGTCCAAGTCACCTGCGCCGCTCTCTCACCGTCTGTCTGTTGCCCATTGCCATCGGGCGCGCTGTTGACCCCGCCATGGCTGCTGGGGTGCAGTGCCGTGGCGTCTTAGGTCTTCCCCGGTCGAGCCAAGGGCACCCATGAGCGTGCCCGGTGCTGGTGGTGTTCACACGCCGTCGCTCGCCGCTGGATCCCACCACGACGATCAGAATCGACCGGCCCTGGCCTTCCCCCCTATGTTGCAAATGTATGTTTCAGGTGTTTTAGATGTATATTGCAATACATATCCATGTTGTAAAAGTAGATCGGGATATTGCACATGTTGCATATGTTTGCAAGTGTTTTCAGTGGTATGTTGCAAGCGTTTTGAAAAAATATTTCATCTGTTTCAGACGTATGTTGCAGCAATTATTTTATTTGCATGTTGCATATGTGTCACACACATGTTGCAAGTGTTTTATCTGGATGTTACATATGTTTCACACACATGTTGCAAGTGTTTTATCTAGATGTTGTATATGTTTCACACACATGTTGCAGCAGTATGTTTCAAATATTTCATCTACTCCGACGTATGTTGCATCAAGTGTTTCTTGTTGCAAGTGTTTTACGGGGGCACTGTGAGTGATGGCGCATGGCCCGGGCGCTGGGGGATGGGGCGTGGCAGAGTTAGGGACCTATGGACCAGGGCACAGCGAGTTGGGGGCCGGCTCCTAGGTCCCACCCATGTGGATAGAGAGGAGGAGGTCAAGGGGAAGGAGCGGGGCGCAGCGGGGGACGGGGTTGCGCTTGCAAGGCAGGGGCAGGCTACGCGGTCGTCCATCCCGACGCGAGAAGCGGCGGGTGCAGCGTCGAGGGCGGAGTGCATGTACGAGTCGGAGTGAGGCGGATGGAGACAGGTTATGCCGACGTCTGGACGCTCGCGTCCGTCTGGATGTCCGGACGTGCTTGTGATTTCTCGAGTGTCTGGTGCTCCGGTACCTGGAGCCTCGAGTATTTCAGACGGTGGATGCAGGTGCTGGTGCGTCAACTGTCAGTGGCCAGAACTGTGCAGCAACGTCGTCCTGTTCACTTTGCTGAAAAGACAGGCTGAAAAATACTGTTCGCTGATTCGTTGTAGGAGAAAAATACTCAGCATGTTCGCTTGCTCGTAAACGATCGTAAATTTTCAGACAGGAACAGTGTTTTTCTCTCACACCAAACCAGCCAGCAGTAAATAATCCACGGCCTCCCGAATAGGCTGACTGTTTCTTTGTTGAAAAAGTATGGCTGATGGCAGCACTGACTGGCCGGTTGCGGCTCAGCCGCAGCGCCGGAGCATCTCCTCTGTCTGGTGTCTGCAAACACAACACGGGGAGTCGGGGACGGAGCTGCTGTGACTATCCTATGCGTATCCGACGACAGCTACAGTGTACAACCTTTTCCTTTTCTACCGAGTGCTCGGCCTGTCGCCTGTCGGAGTGTCTATGTCTTCACATGAAACGGGATTGATTTAATGGTTTTAATCTTGTTTATTTCTCGCAAGAATGTACGGCGGACCCTGTCAGAAATATATTTGCGGATTTGGATTTTGGAGTATCTCTGAGCTGAGCAGTTCATGACTTCATACGTTGTTGTTCTAAACTTTGTCCCTTTTTGCTGTTCTAGGTCAAAGGATGGGATCATTATTGAGACCAGTGGTGGGCCAATCCTTCCGTGGGCGGATCCAAGGGTATTCCCTGGTATTCCCAGGAATACCCAATTTTTTTGAGATACTTTTATGTATATATGTGTATATACTTGTGTATATATATATGTATATTGTAATATTCTGTACTGTTTTCGCTCATTGCAGCCCGAATCAGTAAAAAACACGGCCTTTCAGCCTCCAAACTCCACTAGGCCCACTCAGGCACTCCACCCCTTCCTTCCTAGCCTCTGACCCACCCCGAGCCCCCGACACCCCCTCGGCCCTCGGCCTCTGCTCGCACGGACACGGGACACGGACGGGACGCGATGGACGCCTCGCGGCGAGGAGCGGGCTGCGGTCGGCGGAGCGCGACTTGCGCGGCCAGCGCAAGCTGCAAGGGCGCAAGGTAGCAAAAGCCAGTGGCAGGGGGCTGGCCGGGCGGCAGGGGGCAGGGGCAGGGGCGCAGGGCTGCAGGGGGCGCCGCGGCGGCGGCCAGGCCAACCGGGCAGCCACTGGCCAGGTGCCCAGGTCCTAGGACGGCAAGACTCCAGGTTTGTGATCAGTTTTTACTTCTGACAAAAATCATGGCAATGCTAATATAACCTTATGCAGTGCAACATATAGGTCCAAGTTATTAAGAACACTTACTTATGTTTGGTCTTCCCGTAAGCTTTCTTATGAATACAGTTGTTAGTGTTATAGTTCCATGCATTCTCCATATGACACGAGGGAGGTAAAGTAATGTCTATTTTATTTAATTGCTTAAGTAGACAACATGTTTCTGTGATGTGATAATACTACTATAAATTAGTATATTTGAAACTCAAGCTACCATATATTGGATTTTTTTTTCGCACATGGGAATACCCAACTTCAGAATACTGGCTCCGCCACTGAATCCTTCCCATGGCTCCACGGATCCCATGCTGGACTTAATAAATAAATAAATAAAATAGCTTCAGTTAGCATATATTCTGTGGCTAGCTCTAAACTAGCATTAGGACACCTCCAATAACCAGTTATATGTCACGTGGAGAAGGATGAGGTAGAAATCCTTTCAACTAACAGGAATAGAAGAGCTAAGCTCTTCGTGCGTCCCAAATGTATGGATACATATCTCACTTACGATCCAAACATACTCTAAACTTGTAAACTCGACATACTCACCCCTGCGCATACACACCGCAAAAATATTCATATTTAAAATGATCCTCAGACTGCAAGGACATGGTTTTGTCAGACACACACATATTAACGAGAAGCTTGCAAATATAGGCCCTGTTGGCATGGTTCTATTTCACCAGTGAAGCCATTTTTTTGTTCAGCAAACAACTTTATCGGTAGAGCTGGGGTTGTTTTGATAAACCGTTTGACAAAATAACTACACATGTAGAGCTTCTTAAAACATGCTCTCACATAACCCCATACATGGCTCACCGGGATGAGGTAAAGTCACTATTTTTTGCTCCACCCTCTATATTTTCTTTGTGAGAGCACGATTTAAGAGACTCCTTGGGGAAGCCGTTCGATTTTTCCCCATTTGGCACAAAATGATTTCAAACGGCTTCAAGAGCTAGTGGAGAAGCCATGCCAAACTGGGGCTTAGCATAACACAAATGTGGAATGTGTACTCGCTATTCACTACGAGCTCTCTTATTGGCTACGGATATCGCCGTTGGAGCATTAAGGAGCACGCCCGTACTACCATATGGCCCGTGCAAGTACTGGTAGAAGACGGTATTAATTTCTATTGATAATAAGGAAGGAAGCATATACAACCTCTGAAGGCAAAAGAAACACTAATATTATGTTTGGTTTGAGAAATGAGATATAGTCCATCGTCTTTTCATTTCTTATTTTTTATTTAGTTTGTGTAATAGAATGAGTTGATTTATTATTAACTCATTTCACATACTCATAACTACTACTAGTATGAAGAATGGATTCTACTAAACTCGAAGAACGAAGCATTCTTCTAAAACTGAGTGATTTCTTAAACCAAACACCTTACATTGCTAATATTAAGGGCCTGTTTGAATCACCTCCTCTAAACTTTAGAGTTGTAAAAGCTTTAGAGCACTTTAGCTCACTTTTTAGCTCTAAAGCTCTAA